AATCGAACAACAAATGAGTTGTAGGTCAACGAAAATTAAGTTTATTAATAAGAATAGTGTTCTAGATTTGAATTACCCAATCTACCACTTATATTCCTATACACAAATGACAGTAGGATAATCATGTTTTCAAATTTCAGGGGTGTCCCTCACTATGATTTTTTTTTTATCCATACGTAAATTACCACCGGGGGTTGGATAATCGTATTCAAAAAATTTAGGGGTGTCCGGGGACACCCCTAAACCCCCTGGGTCCGCCCCTGCTTGACATCCTGCCTCAATAGTCACGTCCCGTTACATCTCAGCAAAACGGGGTGGTAGAGCATAAAAATCGGCATGTTCTAGAAATCACTCGTGCCTTACTTCTCGAGTCTCAAGTTCCTCCTCATTTTTGGACCAAAGTTGTTGCTACAGCTGTTCCTCTTATGAATTTTCAAGTTACTCCTCTTCTTAACAATTCGAGTCTCTACTTCTCACTTTTTGGCTCTCATCCTGACTACTATCGCCTCCGTGTCTTTGGTTGTACAACCTTTGTTCTTTTACCTCTTCATGAACGTCCCAAGCTATCCTCCAAAATAGCTCGTTGCGTGTTCCTTGTTTATAGTTCGGTCCATAAGGGGTATCTTTGTTTTCATCCCACCTTCGATCGTATTCGTATCTCATGTAACGTCGTCTTCTTTGAACACCTTCCTTTCTTTTCTCCTACGTCGGCATCTTGATCATTTGTTTCTTTCTTGTGTCCCTATTTGACTTACTGCCCTCTCTGCACTCGCCTGCTTCATCATCCCCTAGTGTGGACTTGACGGACTCGGACTCCTCCCCTGATCACACACCTACTCCGCCAGCTCCCGTTCCTCGTTGTCATTCCACTCGGGTCAATGTTGGTCAGCTGCCTTCATATTTGAAAGATTTTGTTTCGTTTCAAGTGGATTCAATTCTTGTTCCTACTAGGTAAAAGCAAGCACAGGGTCACCCGCCATGGTCACCCGCTGTGGTTGTTCGTCCGGAGAATGTTCCCATTGTTGGTTCTCGATGGGTATATGCTTTAAAGATGCGGACGGATGGTTCTCTCGAATGTTTCAAGGCACGAGTTGTAGCACATGGGTTTAGCCAGGAGTTTGGTATTGATTATACAGAGACGCTTGCTCCCGTTGCTAAGCTCCATACTATTCGACTCTTCTTGCTATTGCTGCTATTCGTCATTGGCCTCTGTTTCAACTTGATGTGAAGAATGTGTTCCTCAATGGTGAGCTTAAAGAGGTTGCTTACATGGATCTTCCTCCTGGTTACAATATGGCTAAGCCGAACCAGGTCTCTAGGCTGAAGCGTTCACTTTATGGCCTGAAACAGGCTCCTCGTGCCTGATTTGACAAGTTTCAAGAGACCATTCTGCAGCTGGGTTTTCATCAGAGTTCTAATGATTTGTCGTTGTTCCTTCACAAGTCTTCCTCTGGCTTGGTTGCGTTGCTTCTATATGTTGATGATATGGTTGTTACAGGTGACGATGCAGCCAGTATTAAGCATCTCACGCAGGGTTTTCATGTTTCCTTAAATGTGAAGGAACTTGGTTCCTTATCTTACTTCCTAGGGCTTGAGGTCTTGCGCATAAATGCAGGCATTTTGCTTAGTCAATGTCGTTACATTGACGATTTTCTCAATGATCACTGCTTTGAGTCCTGTAAGCCGGCGTCCACTCCTATGGAAGTAAATGTCAAGTCTGTTCGGGAATATGGGACTTTGCTTCCTGATGGTACGCAATACAAGTCTATAATGGGTAGCCTTCTCTATCTTACGCACGCTTGGCCGTATATCTCCTATTCAATTCAGGTGCTTTGTCAATTTATGGCTCGACCGCATGATGTTCATCTTGCTGCCATTTTTTGTCTTCTCCGCTACCTTCAACAGACCAAGGACGTGGGTATCTTCTATCCTTCTCATGGTTCACTTACTCTTCATGCATATTCTGACTCTGATTTTGCTGGGTGTATTTGCACCCGTCGTTCAACGACTGGTTGGTGTGTCAAATTCGGGGAGGCTTTTGTTTCTTGGCGGTGTAAGAAACAAGATAAAGTCTCCAAGTCTTCTACAGAGGCTGAATATCGGGCCATGTGAGATGTGAGTTATGAATTGGTTTTGTTGCAGCGGATTCTCCTGGATTTTGGTGTTGCTTGTGCGTCTCCTCTCACTCTCTATGTTGACAACACCAGTGCATATCGTGATTCACATTCACTATGTTCGTGATTTGGTGTCTGAAGGTACGTTAGTTCTACACTATTTGCATACGGAACATCAAGTGAATGATCTCTTCACCAAAGCTCTCTCTCCGGCTCGTCATTGGTTCGTGTCTTGAAAATTGATGTTTCACGAGTGACATCAATTTGGGGGAGACTATTGATGTATATTGGTTGTCATTATAAAAGAAATGAGTTTCTACGAACGGGATGGGGGCAGGCGGATTGATATCCCCTCGTTAGAAGTAAGCTTTTAATTCTCATGTTATTCCTGTCGTTATTGGTACAAAAATATAGTCTTTAATGAGGGCTTATTTCCCCCCTCACTGCTGTTAAATGATTCCCCTCCCCCACTGCTATATCATGACCGTAAAAATCCTCTTGTTAGTTGGGCAAAGTTTTTTAATTTTAGTGCGCCTACTTTTTGGTTTGAAAATTTCAGATCCCTCCCTCCAATCATGGTTTTACTTTTAGCGGCAATCTCTACCTTTTTCCTCTATGGCTTTATTAATAAAATAATTAAACCCTTTACCTTCATTCTCAGCCACAAAATCATATAAAAAATATATTCCCTTCTCCTTATCCAGACCCTCACCTCTCTCTCTCTCTCTCTCTCTCACTAAAAAAAACCCTCGCCTCTCTCTGCCTCTTCCCCTAGCGAAGCTCTTGCCTTTTCATATCTGCCCACATCCTTCAATGGCCAAACCATGCTTCAGGCCTCTTCATATCTACCCATCTCTAGATCTTTCCAACACACATCTACCAAAAACTCCACCTTGATTTTAGATCTGTCTAAATCTCCATATTTGAAAACCAGAGTATTGAACTCTCTATTTCAGTCCCAATTAAGCTCCGCCAGATCTATATTGCCAGGCCCTAATCTGACCCCCTGGTCGCCCTCCTTCTCCAAGATCGTTGCCGCTCCTCCGTTCTCGATCCTCTTTATGGCGGGGTCTTCCTCTGCCGCCCTCCTTTCAATGAATCGACAACAACGCTCCCAATGGAAATAACAAAGAGCAAGGCCACGAGGTCACTGTGAAAGGAGTAGATTGGTTGATTAATGCGAGCTTTAGAGGAAAAGGCTTTTTGAAGCTATAATAATGTATGATAGCTTAAACGGAATACTATATTGTTTTGGTTCTACTTTTTCCTTGTTCTTTGCTTGAACGATGAATGTATATGATTGTATTTGAATGACTGAATATTTGTAATTGTAATAGTGTTTAGCCCTTATGAAATCAGTTTTGGAAGATTTGGTTATTTTCTTAGAGGTTGCGTAATCCAGGTGAATCATGGTAAAATGTGAATTGGTGATGATAAAATTTGAGATTTATCAATTAATAATTAATCCAATTTGGGATGATTAATTGCAAACTAACGATGGGGGTCCCACAGTTTTTTGTTTATAATTTTTAGATCAATTGTCGACATCAACTAGAGTAAAGTTATCCCTCGTAGAAAGTTCAAACGATGGGGTTTTAAAAGTCCCCTCGTTAATGGCTTTTAACGGCGAAGCCTCCTATGACAGGAGGTTTACCATCGTTATTGACTTATAACGAGGGTTTTTGGTCTTTTAATGACCGTTTTTTCCTCTCGTTGGAACCACTTTTTTTTAGTGTGCATGGATCGGCCCATGCATTGTAAGCCCTATCGACGTGTAGATGGGATAGGGTTGACCGAATTCTTTCTCCCTCTCTCTCTCCCGTGATGTAAGTTATATATATATATGGCAAAGGCTAGTGTATGTCAGGCGTTCGCTGTACGCCTGTGTTCACACTTGGTTTTTGCACTTCAATATATTTCTCTGAATCAGAACCGTCGGTTATTATTTTTTAGATTACATGAATCTTGTGGCTTGTGTTAGAGAATTAGGGACTGGGGTTCTCCCATTAGAGGTTAGGGTATAGTATCATGCCCCAAATTTCGGTTAATTCGTGCTCTAAATAGTAAAACTCGACGGGCGTACAATGTACAACTGACGTACGCTAGCCTGAACTATATATATATAGCTATTCTTTTTCCCTGTAACCTCACCGAAAACGTAATAAGATATTATAGCTCGGAGAGTGCCTACTCTCCCGTGGACTAACCCCGAATCTCGGGGAAACCACGTAAATCGGTGTGTATCAGTTTCGTTTATCGCTAAGCCAAATTCGTTATACGTATCTTGATTTGTTAACACTTCCTATCCGTCCATCAAAGATAGTGATGGCAATTTAAATAGTTTGATTTTCGGTTTAGTCGAGAAATCGTGACCGCATTCCCATTGCTTTTAGGAATTTTTTTTTTTTTTTTTATAATTTTGTTGTTGTTGCAAATAGCTTCTTTTATTGTACATACTATGATGATATATTATATAGGATGATACATCATTAATATTGTTAGAATATTATCAAAATGAATGTCATTATCTAAAATTCTAAGTTAGGATGAGGTATAGTTCACCTAATTAGCGGTAGCTAGCTAGGTAGTTGTATTCAAATGTTTTGACTGGCTGGTGTGTTTTGTCGGGTTTTAGTTAATTAATTGGCCAAAGTAAAACGCATATATATGCATACGATGCACACATAAGGAAGAGTACACAAAGCCACAATTTATTAATTGGCGACTGATCCTCATCAGGAGGTACCAATTAAATACACAACAACAACAGAACACATGTACGTACGTAGAGATGCATGCATGCATATGCAGGAGGAATATTCAGAAACAGACAATATAGAGAACAGGAAATTCATGTTGTGATGGATCTGAGAAATAATAATTATATTAAACGAAGGCACTGAGAGCATTCCGGAGGTTAGCGATCTGCTTGTCCTTGGCAGCAAGCTGGTCGTCTTTCTCCTGTGCTTGCTTCTTGAGCTCCTCGATCTCCTTCTTGGCGGCAAGTTGCTCGTCCTCCTTCTCCTTGGCCTGCTTCTTGAGCTCCTCGATCTCCTTGTCCTTCTCTGCCTGAAGCCTCTGGTTCTCCTTCTCCTTCTCCTCCAGTTCCTTCTTCGCTTGTGCTGAGCCAGTGCCAGCGGCCCCAACCATGAGCTTCCCGGTGGTGAGCTCGAACCGGTCCCACGCGGTTTCCACCGGGACGGCGACCTGGACGCCGTGCTTGGACCACTCGTAGAGGTCGTTGAGGCGGCGCAGGACGCTGTTGGGCCTCAGGTAGATACTCCCGCCCCCAGGGTTCAGCCACGTCACCATGAACCCTTCCCTGTTGACCATCATTTGCCTTCCCGATATGCCGCTCCTCAGCTCCTCCACTTTGCCGCCGGTGAAGACCACGCCCAACACTTCCAGCTCGCGGTGGGAGCAGTAAGCGTTGCTCCCGATCCGGGCCGCTTGCTTCCAGTCGGAGGGATTTCTTGGGACGTCGTGGGTGTTGAGATCCGGCGAGTACGCGCCCTCCATCACCCTGATCGTGCCGTCGGTGATGGAAATCAGCCATAGATTGTTGGAGTCCATCACGAACCGAGACATTTTTCTGATTAATATAATGCTCTCTCTAGCTTGTGATTGATCTGTGTGTAAATTTGGAACCCGTGCTTTGGCGAGTCCTATTTATAGTGTAAACATTACCCTGCTCCGTACTCAGGTATTTGCTTTTACTCGATGAATATTAATTTTTATGGGCGCGACCTCCGGTGATCTCCCCACTTACCCTAATAAGTATGTTAATTTATTACTAACTGTTGAGCTGGTGGGCATGTGGGTCTATGATTAGCTAGTATGATATCCAGCTTCTCATCCCAGATAGTTACTTAGATGATGACGGATGCACAATCAACGTTTCAGAAAGCTTTAGGCATAAAGCAAAAATAAATACGACTGAGAGCCCGAAGCAAAAATAAATAAATAAAATATCACGCAATCGTCTAGAATTAGAAATTTATGAACCAAAAGCATCTCGCCAGCCTCTCATTATCAACCCGTGGGTTGACCCGGACCCGGTCGAGCTAGTGGGTCAAGGGTTAATGGGTCACCCGGTTTAGCCCGTTTTAGCCCGGAAATATGAAAAGAGTCATTATATTGTACTTTACTTGATAAATTATATCAAATGTCATCTAACATATGAGTAATAACATATAACATTACACCAAAGTAACATGTCGTACTTAGATCCAACATATAGTGAAAATTCACACACTCTTATATAACATCAATATTCAAAATTTCAACTAAGGATTCCAAAGATTGAGTTAGGCAAAAAGAAAAATCGGAAAATAGGCGCATTTCGCAAACTAAAAAAAAATGACAGAATTTGACCTCCAACTCGATACCTTATAGCGGTCGACCCGGCGGGTGCGTACGACCCGTTTTTCTCATCGGGTCAGGGTCAAAGTGGGTCAACCCGTGGGTCGACCCGCGGGTTGACAACCTTGTCTCTCGTCAACAATATATGGTAGTTAAACTATAGAATATCGTGTGGAGAAACAAGCGAGGAAGAAAGAATGAGCATTGCATACCCATGGGTGGACCTAGTAACGGTAGGGTGTTTCGTCCGACACAACCTCACTCGGAAATTTTGTGAATGACCTATATTTTTTTGGTACAAATTTTTCAATTTGGAACTTCCTACACACCTCAAATAATTGTGAGCGACATGCCTTCATTATACGAGAATGATTTTCTTGTTATAAAGTTATTTATCTTATTTAGTAATAAAAAATATTAAGTAAAATAAAATAAATATGCTTGTTATAAAATAATCTACACAACAACCCAAAAATGAAAAAAACATACATAACCTCATCATTTGAAACTCACCGTTTCACCCCTTAACCCTTCCTTTATTGAAAATAAAAAATGAAATAAAAATTCACCCTTACCTCTTTTTAGTTTCTAATTAGCGAGATTCACAGCCACATACCCCTTTTGTTTTATCCTTTAGTTTACTTGCTCTGGAAGTTAGTGTTGACTTTACTTATTGCAATTGCTAGCTGCGAAAGAGCATTTTCACCTATGAAGATAATCAAGAATGAAATTCAAAATCAGTTGAGAGACCAATTGTTTAGTTGTGTATATCAAAAAGAATTTGTTTCGAAACATAAGCGATAAATTTATTTTATAGATATTTCAGAACATGAAAGGTCTTCGTGGTTCGTTGTAAACATGATACTGTAAACTTTATGAATGAATTTCTATATAATTTTACTAAATTATAATTAAATTCTTTAATTATTATTTTATTTATTCGGCGACACATCTCTTCAAAAATTCTGGATCCGTACCTTGCATACCCTAACAATTAGGAAAAAGATTCTCATAATACACTCTCCGCGTAGCGTCATCTAATCTAAACTATATATTATGGCAATTCAAAAAAAAATATCTTGCCACATAAGCACTTGGATGATCCACAATTTGCCAAGTTGGACAACTTTTTTACAAACAAAAAAATTAGTTATCAATGTATTTATGAAGCTATCTCTCTCTTCTTTAATATTTCCATTTCTTTTATCCAATTATTCTTTTCCATTTTTCCATTTATTCTTTTTCTTTAATAACAAGTTACATGTTGATAAACTTAACAAAACACACATAAATAATAAAAATTTTCCAAGTAAACAAAATATAAATAAGAAAATAAAGAGTGTCATTTGTTCAAATAAAAATATCTGATTAAACCTTATGAAGTAAATTTTCTACTCATTTTTACTAAAGTTGAATGATAAGTTATATTTTGATAAAAAAAATTAAACAAACATACACATATACAATGATTTTTTATCGATTAAAAAAATATATATGAAAAGAGAGAAAATAAATATTTGACATTCAATTACTTTTGAAAAATAAATTATATTACTTTATATTTTGTTGCAATGAAACACTCTCTTATTCGTAAAGTATATGTCTATAAAATAAAACAATTATTATTTAGCAAAATGGTTGAGTATAATCTTGATCGAGTAATTACAGTTATTTATTTAAAAAGACTTTTTATTCATTCAGATCATGTTCTACTCTAAACTCCTCAAATGAAGAGGAATTGCATGTGCAATAATTTTATAATGTGTCCTAAGTTCACATTAATAATATTTGCTCTATATCATGTTTGATTGAGCAAGTTCTATTGAGGTCCTAAGTCGTATGCTAAGAAATTTTATATTAGACTTGGAGTTATCGTCAACGATTGTAAATCAAAATTTTCAAAATGAGTTAAGTATGATTGTTGACGAACTTTGACTTCATACCCTAGGATGAGACGCAAGATTCCTTGAAAAATAACATATGTGAAGGCTAGAGAAATCTTTGTCGAGAAACTGCGATAAACATCACGTTTCATCAATTTATAACCTAGGCATTTACCAAATAAAGGTTGGAAATTTTTAGTAAGATAGTCAATTCGGATAAACATATTTATCCAACAATCAAGTATTTTTATCCAATCATCTCAAAACTCTAAATTGGTTGCCAGTTCGTCCAAACTCGAGAAACACGAATTGATATATGTTGTGTAAGATAATAAGTTAATGCAAATAATCAAATGAAATACACCAATATTGTTTAAATGATAAGACATTTTAAATGCACTTGAAATATGTGTGTACTGCAGACACTCTTTATCAATTATTAATATATAAGTGATAAAATCTTTGAAAATTACATTCAACGACCATGTTAAGACCAAAATCCTCGATAGTGTGTGTGAGTGTCTTAGATTGAGATTCTAAGCTAACATATAAACAATGACCGTGGGTTGAGGTTTAGTCTAAACGTCAAGAATTAACAATTGATACATATTGTGTAATATACTAAATTTAAGTGTCTTGATAAAAAAACTAACATCCAAAATGGAAATGAGTCGAGATTAGAGAATTTAATCATCATGAGGCCTCCAATGTGTGTCAAGTTTCAATATGAGTGAATAAATTGATCCAATAATGAAGTATCTTTACAACATTGGTCTTGAGTTCGTCCAAACTCGAGGATCATGAATGTGTATTGGATCTCCAAATGACCTAAAATCTCAATCCCTTTTGGGGGCTAAATACCTCTGATAACAACCATAGTTTCCAAAAAAGAATGAAAAGAAGCCCGAAAAATCAAAAAAGAAAATAACCTCCGATACAATGAACAGAATAAACCATATCGAGCTATGATCTTGTCATCCCTACCCTTTTATTTTCCATAAAGGGGGTGTGTGAAAGGATAAGAAATAAATAGCAGGATCTTAGGATTTGCCTCTTTATATATTACATATCGAACAATACACAACCCGAATGACTGCCTGACGTTATGGGGGTAAAAGCGGGATCTCTATCCCGGGGGTGTGGATAAGCAAGTAGCACTTTTAATATGAGTATTAGACAAGATAGGATAAGTGTGATGAAGTATATGGACAATTTTGAGTCTACTTTAGCGCGCACACACAAAAATATACACTATATATAATATCAAGGGGTGAGTTCTACGGTACCTAGGGTGAAATTTAGGATACTGCATACCTTGAGCGTGAAAACGTTGTCTAGATCTTGAATTGTCTGATCTTTCGGACATGATAATATACTCTAACCCTTAAAGATCAAAATCTAGGTTTTAATTCTCTAAATCTTATACCCCAAGACAATTTAATTAGAAACAATAATCGACGGTTATGATTCGTCCAAATATAGGCAAAAAAATGAATGCACCATCTTAGGATTTATAGCTTATGATTTAGATAATTAGGACCTAGGATTCACTCATTAAGGGCTAGGATATATTATCTGGCCCAAAAATCCAGCTAATTCGAGGTTTAGATAGCATTTTCATACTAAAGGTATGTGGTACCCAGATCTCACCCGGGGTATCATAGAAGCCCCTCAATATTAAGGTATACTATACTTTTGATTTTACTCAAGATACGATAGAAGATAGGTATGACGAAGTATGTGTATAAATTAGATGTTAAAGAATTAGGGACTGGAGTTCACCTATTAGAGGTTAGGATATAATATCATGCCCCAAAAACTTCGGTTAATTTGGGGTATAAATAGTAAAACTCAATGGTCGTATGGTAGTGTGAACGCAAGAGTATAGCGTATTCCTGGCACAGGCTAGCTTGAACTATATATGTGTGTGTGGTTTAGCTTGGTGTACGGTAAATATTCATGTTTTGGTTGACAAATTTTGACATAAGTTCTAAATGAGATGTGACAATGACATCATCTATGTTTAGAAAACCGAAGCATCACAAGTGAGTGTGCTAAATATTGAAAATTTTCAGTTTAGACATACTACAAACTCTATTATGAATTAAGAATACAAAATATTTAGAAAATCCAAAATGATTTAAACATATAAATAAGTTAATTGATATAAATTATAAAATAAATCTCTCCGACCAACGAATCGGATAAAAAATTAGTATTTTAATTAGTGAATCCAGGATCACGTGGTTAATATTATTCTTTTTCGTAACTCACGTGGTTAATTATATCAATGAATACAAAAGCACGTGGTTAATTATTAACCTTTTTCCTTATTCGGAATGA